GAACCTTGGCAACACAGAAAAATTTCTTTCATTTACTCACATACTCTGTATGCATATGACATGATGTTAATGGCAAGGCAAAAAGACTTAAGTCAAGAGAAAAGTTCGCTAGAATAAAATATCATTCCGAGAATCAATATACTACGCTTAAATTAGCCCGAAGTTTTACGAAAAATGTGATTTTTTCCCCCTCATATCTTGTTGCTATTGCCTAGAAACTGGTGTTTTAGTGTTACATTACAAAACAATCATTAGATTTTTATTACAGAATAAAGGGAAGTTTTACAATTATTTTGCGATATTGCTTGGCAGAAATTTAGAAATTTGCTATTGGATGTTATGTCTGTTGATCATACATTTATATCAATATGGTTTACGATTAAGATTTACTGTGACGACGCACTTCTGCTGAGAAAATTGCTTAAAACATTTTTTAATCAAAGGAAACGTGTTTTCTGGATATAATTTTTTCATTTTGTTGGATGACTGGATTCACATGGGAACTGGAGTATACACAAAAGATATAAAGCAAATTGATTGGTTGATAATTCTTTTGGTGGAATTTATTCGCTACAAGGCATTTAGTGTTGAGTTGTTGTTGTTGTTGTGAAATAGAAAATAGGTCATTTTTAAATCAAAAATGAAATACAGACTACTATATCATTTCAGTGATATAAAGAAACTCTTCCTATGGGAGTTAGGAAAGATCTGCCTCCAGTTGTGAAGATTGTGTGATAAATGTTTATACGGAAACACTAAATGGCATAAACAGACTGATATTTTTTTAACAGGAGGTGAAAACATAGTTGTCTCCCTTGTGTTATGTAATGATAAAGGAAGAAAATGTTTATCTGTACCTTTTTGTCTTAGTATATTCCCTATAGGATGATAGTTAATAGCTAGTATGTAGCTTCTTAAGTAACCCAGCTTAAAATAAATACATGTATACATGTATTGTATTTGTTTAACCTCAGCTGCTGTTAACACTGTTTCTTGATATTAATTTAAAAAAGGATCAGAAATTTAACGTTGACTTATAAAATTAAATTCAACATTGAAAAATACTACACCAGTCATTGTGATTGCCTGAAAAAGAAAAAACAACAGTTTTTTAACAGTGTTACGGTTTTAAACATTTGAAAGATAATTGAGTCAAAAATGAAAAAAAAAAAGGGTTTGTATTTAAAAAATTGGGCACCCGTATGACCGGGAATTTTTTTGCGACTTTTTAAGAAATGTCCCCTTTAAAGGGAGAGTTTCCCATGTTAAAAAAGGGGAAATATGGAAATGGGTTTTTGGATTTACAATGTTTTTTTAATGGTTAAACATAAAGGTTGTGGTGGTAATGGAGAACGGTGCAGCCCATTCTTACCCCGGCCCGTAATGACGATCAATGCTACCCCCTCTGTCCCTTATTGTGGATTTTTAAAAATACAGGGGATGTTTTACACTAGAGTAAAATTTGGATTCTAAAAACAGCGGCCCGCATAAAAATGTGATAGTGTACTCGATACTCCCAAAGGGATAAAGGTTTTGGGGTTACCATAATACAATATGAGGTAATTTATGGGTTACATGATACTAAACTAGAGGTAATTTATGGGTTACATGATGCTAAACTTGAAGTAATTCATAGTGTACTCGATACTGCAAATGATGAAATTTGTGGGTTACATGATACTAAAACTGATGAGATGTGTGAGTTACATGATACTAAATATGAGGTAATTTATGGGTTAAATGATACTAAAAGTGAGGTATTTCACAGGATGCATGATACTAAAAATGATGAATTGTGTGGGTTACATGATACTACAAATGAGGTAATTTATGGGTTACAAGTTTCTAGTTTATATAAGACCTAAGCCTCTAAGGAAATATATGAACTCTAAGCCTCAAAGTGGTTTGTGAGCACTAAGCCTCTAGGTAAATTGTTAGCTATAAGCCTCTAAGGTTATCTATGAACTCTAGGTAAGCTGTACATGGCCTTTAAACCTCTATGTTATCTCTCAGACCCTAGGCTCTAGGTTATTTGTGGCCTCAATGATATCTGTGAGCTTTCAGCCTCTATGTTATATGTGAGCTCTAAGGATCTAGGTTATCTGTGACCTCTTAGCATCTTGGTTATCTGTGAGCTCTAGGCTATCTATGAGCTCCAACCTTCTAGGTTATTTGTGACATCTAAGCATCTTGGTTATCTGTGAGCTCTAGGCTATCTCTTCTAGGTTATCTGTGACCTCTAAGCATCTAGGTTATCTTTGAGCTATGAAGCCTCGATCTAAGATTAACTCAAAACCTGTAGGTTATTTGTGAGTGTTATGATACTATAAATAGTGAACTGACAATATGTAAGGTGTTAGTGCAATGCTTTGCTTTGATGTTCTGGCAGACATCTGTATTAGAAGCAAGTTTGTATTTCTTTATGGAAAATTTGCATATTGCTATAGAAACAAAGCTCTTACCATGAAAATAAATTATGATACCAATAATAGGATAAAGGGATGCTAATAATTGTGTTCTTCTAAATAGTCATTAGCATTCTCATAAAAATAGAGAATATTTTGTTGAGCTACAGAAATTGATCAGATTTAATGACAGGTCAATGACCAGTAGGGCAATTTTTTATTTGGCCAAAATCATAAATAGTTAAAAATTGCAACAAAGGCAATTTTATAGGCAAAACATGCTTAGAACAGGTGTTTCCACTGAACTTTTCTTGGCTTCTTGATACCATGTTGTCTCTAATTTGGAAGTGATCTAACATTATTTTGATTTGCAAATTTGAAAATAGTGTAGCTTTTTAACTGTTTGACAGCTGTTTTGAATTTTGATTAAAGATATAATCAGATCAATAACAAATTCAACAATCTTAACAAGTTTTGTCAGATCTTGAAGTTTTCACCATGATATTTTATATCATATCATTTATAACCTTAATAAATCAAGTCTGTATCTCATGCATCTGATTGGCTAAATTTGAAAAATTCGGATTTGAAATTAACTAATGGTATAGCTCCATTTCAAGACTGGTCTTAATGATTTGAAAATTGCTAATTTATTGATTCTTCAGTATGTTTAAGGAAGCAATTTTTTGTAATCTTTGTCAGGCAAATTTGATTGGGTGTAATCTAGATAAATTTTTTTAATGATATCTGGTCATAGAGGTTTCAGTCTTAGTTAATTCCTGTCAATTAACATCTTCTTCAGTTATATGGAAGTATCATGGCAGAGTTTTTTCTGTATTCCTTATACATGAAGAATTTACATATTTTTCTTACATTTTGATTTAGCTTGTAGCCACATACACAGTATTGTTATACTCCATTTATACTAGAGGCAGGAGAGCCTAAGCAGGGTTTGGGTTAAAGATTTTCTTGTTTTTAGTGAACAAATTGTTTATTGTATTTAAGTACAATGTATATAAATTGTTCACAATTTTCTAAACTACTAAGCTATCAGGGTACTTACACATTATCTCCCGTAAATAGTGAACAGTTCTAACTATTGACACATTACAATGCTTTAATAGTTTTGTGATAATCATCCTACACATTGCTGTGCTTGCAAAAACAAATTTCTTAGGAGTATGAACATCAATCGATCTGTAGATTTGATTTAAATTCATGTATATGTATTCTCAATTTCTGTTACATTTAGACAGAACATCAGTTCCAGTATTGACCTATATTGTATAAGAGAATGTCCTATATTGTATAAGAGAATGTAGCTATATTGTATAACAGAATGTAGCTGTATTTAAAGAGAGAATGTTAACTGACAGGAATCGTCATAGAGACTTGTAGGCCAGTCACTTGTTATAATAGAAAATCTATATTTCATCTTTACATATTGAATTCTTTCATGTTCCTATGACAGATTGTATGGCTTTCAAATAATTCTCCCGTCTGATATAAATGATATAAGAGAATATCACAAAATATTGGATTGTAATTGTTGTTTCCCTTATATTTAATAAACTTTGAGATGTATTTAAGTTGTTTCCCTTGTTTTGTATTATCAGAGGGAGTTGGATTGTTTCCTTGTATTTAATAAATGAGATGTTTTAAGTTGTTTCCCTTGTTTTGTGAGTCAGGGGGATTTTGTTTAAGTTGTTTCCCTTGTAGTGGGGTGTTGTATAAGTTGTTTCCATTGTAGTGGGGTGTTGTATAAGTTGTTTCCCTTGCAGTGGGGTGTTGTTTAAGTTGTTTCCCTTGTAGTGGGGTGTTGTATAAGTTGTTTCCCTTGTAGTGGGGTGTTGTATAAGTTGTTTCCCTTGCAGTGGGGTGTTGTATAAGTTGTTTCCCTTGTAGTGGGGTGTTGTATAAGTTGTTTCCCTTGCAGTGGGGTGTTGTATAAGTTGTTTCCCTTGTAGTGGGGTGTTGTATAAGTTGTTTCCCTTGTAGTGGGGTGTTGTATAAGTTGTTTCCCTTGTAGTCGGGTGTTGTATAAGTTGTTTCCTTTGTATTGTATTAAGAGAAGGATTTTGATCAATTGTATAAACATAGGAATATCATCACAGTTCTTTCTCTTGTATTGAATGAAGTAAAGGCATATAGTAAAAGTTGGTTCTCTTGTATTGAATAAAGTAGAGATCCTTTGTAAAAGTTTATTCCCTTGTATTGATAAAAGGAATTGTGTAAAAGGTTTTTTTCCCTTGCATTGCATAAATAAAGGGGTAATGTTAAAGTTCTTTCCCATGTAAAATAAACACAGGGATATTTTGAAGTTGTTTCTCTTGCATTGATTGTATCAAACAAAGTTCATGATGCAAGAAGTATTAGCCAGGAGAACATAAATAAATTAGTTACTCAAGTGATAGCCTGATTTAACTTCAAACCATTTTATATTGAAAGGATGTACATGGTAAGTTTTCCTTTTCAGCAAATGCTGGAGATTTGCCATGTTACCAATGGGTTGACCAGGAATATAAAGACACATACAATTCTATAATACTATTGACAAAACATTTTCTATATTTTGGTATATTATTTTATTTTCAGTTGTATGACAAGATAAATTCTCATCCAGTTGCTCCAACACGATCACCACCTGCTGATGCTGTCAATAAAGTTCTAGAGGTAAGATTTTCTGATGCTGTCAATAAAGTTCTAGAGGTAAGATTTGCTGATGCTGTCAATAAAGTTATTGAGGTAAGATTTGCTGATGCTGTCAATAAAGTTCTTGAGGTAAGATTTCAATAAAGTTAAGGTAAGATTTGCTAATGCTGTCAATAAAGTTCTGGAGATAAGATTTACTGATGCTGTCAATAAAGTACTAGAGGTACAATTTGCTGATGCTGTCAATAAAGTGCTAGAGGTAAGATTTTAATTTAAGATGACTGGGTTTTGAAAATACTGCAGTCAATCATATTGTAATCATATAGCAGTCACCATGCTCAGGATTTAGAGCAGTAAATTTAATGTTAAGACATATTGCTTACCTATAATACTTAGATATTGAATAGAATAGAATTTAGATTTGATATAAAATAAAGCTGCATTGTTGACCATTTGACTTTAAATCAAATCCAAAATTTTAAGTACATTGATATATTGCCTATGTAAAAACATGCTAATTGTAAAATCACCAATCTATGGTGTAAGATTTTTCTACAAAACATGATTACATCAGAAACCAATTAGTCAATGTAAGAAGATGTTTATGGAGACCAATGTTTGTAAAATGTTGGTAAATTATGGAGATGTTATGCAGTGTTATTTACCATATTAATATAATTTATGTATATCACTATATGCTAATATTGTCTGGAGGTTGTCACAGACAGCAGTTGTGTTAATGTTAACTTTACCACTTGTACTCCAAGTTATATTGATTCTGAAGGACCTTAACAAAATAATGTATCAAAATGGAATTGATTTGAAAGTCCAGTAACTGATTTAAGGTTAGGGGTCTGTAGCTTAGTTATTAAGATGGCCCTTAACCCAGAGATTTTAGCTTCAAGCCTTACTCAGTAACTAAGGTCACAACTCTGTTTCCTCATGTGACAGTGGTATGGGTTATTATACCCCCACCACATGATGTAGACGGGCTATACTGGAATCACTGTGTTGTCTCAGTCAGTCAATTTGTCAGTCTGTCCATGTTCATCATGTTTTCTGTCTTAATCCTATTCCCCTTTTAAAGGATTTTCTGGAAATGTTCACCTTGACAAGGTTAAATGTGCAGAACTCAATGTATTTATCTGCCGGCTCAAGGTTAAGGTCACCTTCAAAGATCAATTTGCAGACAATTTTGTATTAGCTATACAGGAGATTGAAGGATTTTCTTTAAATTTGGCTCAAATCTTAAGCTCAACAATGCATTGTGCAAAACCCATGCTGGCAGTGTGTAGGCTCAAGGTGAAGGTCACCCTTGATGGTCAAATTAAGCATTTTCTGTCAGCGCAGTAAATTTTATACTTTTCAAACAGAACTCAAAAATAATTTCTTTCAAAAATAATGATAAATTTCACTCCATGATATCCTTTATTATAGAAATCTTAAAAAACATCAGCTATATGTTTACATCAGGTATACGTCTATTCGCTGACGATTGTGTGTTATATCGGCCGATAAGTAACCAAAGTGACAACTTAGCTCTCCAGGAAGATCTTAGTAAACTTGAAAATTGGTCGGACATTTGGCAAATGGAATTCAATGTTAAAAAATGCGCCATTATGCAATTTTCATCTTCTCCACACAGAAAGAAATATGACTACAAAATGAAAGGCGAAAGCTTGGAAATAGTCAACCGGCATCCATATTTAGGGGTTGAATTCAGTGATAATTTGAAATTCAACGACCATATTAACAACATCACAAAAAAGGCAGCAAGTACACTTGGTTTTCTAAAGAGGAACTTAAGATACTGTCCTCCCAAAGTAAAAGAAAAGGCTTACATTAGCTTGGTCAGACCTAAACTGGAATACGCTTCTCCAATATGGAATCCTTTACAAAAGACTCAAGTTAAGCAGATAGAACAGATACAAAGAAACGCAGCAAGATGGGTATTGAATAGACCGTATAACCCACACAATCCTTCTAGTGTAACTGAACTAATAAAATAAATTACAATGGCCCAGTCTTCAACAACGTAGAGTTTGGGCAGATGTGACTCTCATGTATAAAGTAGTTAACTACTTAATAGCTGTACCAGTATCGTACCACCCCACTTTTGCCACCAGTTCGTTCAACCCGAAGAAGTCATAGTATGAAATTCATCCCAATCCAATCTAGAATCAACGTTTATCAACACTCATTTTTCCCAAGAACTGTTAATACCTGGAATATTATACCGGATTCTTGTGTTACTTCTGAGAGCCTGGAGGCGTTTAAATCTTCCATCCAGCTCGTTCCAGTCGTACCATCATATGTTTAAATGGTCAACATCTTGTAAAGTGTAAATACATGTTGGTCAAATGACCTTTTAAGGGTGTAGTGTGGAACATCAGTTTGTCAATGGGACAGTTGTGATACAATTGTGTAAAATAGTTTTAAAATTTATGTTGGAACACGCCACTCTACACCGATGTACAGTCTTCACCTCCTCGACGTCGATGTCTACTTCGTGGATTTTGTCGAGAAAACCCGTTGAAATTGAAATTGAAATATAGCCAATACAGTCAGTTTATCTTGATATCTGAAGTCTGGAAATGACCTGTAGACTATGTTCTTCCAGTTCTTCTTTTTTTATGAAAGAATGTTTGTATCCGTTTAGTTTACAGATTTCAGTTATCAAGTGAGATGTGACAGTGTTTCTATCACATTGTTATTGAGATAATGCTAAGAAGGACACTTGAAATCCTGTATTACAGACTTTAAGCTCCATATAACAGTTAAGGCGATGTGTGATTATGAATTAAACAAGATGAAAATATAAATTTAAGTTTGATTAAAACCTAATTTATATTAGGCTGGACAATTAATGATATTAAGATAGGAACTAAGGCTAAAAGTCACATATATATTTGCAGACATTTTGATAATTTCTATTTTCAGGTGTTAGGTTTAGTGGAGAGTCAGGATGGAACAGTTGTTCAAGAATTACATACACTTTTCAACAAGCCTCATTTCAAGGTGAGTAACTCTTGCTCTATCTGAAATTTTCTTCTTACAAAGTTGTCTTTCTTGCATTGATGTCATCTAAAAGTTCTATGCCATGTTGTGGTAGGCTGTGGTGATAACAGTGTTAAGTGAGATATCATTTGAATTAATCTATTGCAAGTTATTGTTACCATTGATCATAATAAAACACTTTATTATTTAAAATCAACTATCAACCTACAGTACTGGACACGCGAAACCCGCAAAAGTCGCGTTATGCCGCGAGTGTAGTCTATGTCGCGACGGGACACTTCGCGGTAAAACATCGCCGCGTGCAAGTTCGCCGAATTTCGTGGCGGGTCACGAAAAATCGCCGCGATGTATCGCCGTAATTTACGGCGAATCTTCAGCAATAATTGTATTAGAAAGTACAGTACTGGACACGCGAAACCCGCAAAAGTCGCGTTATGCCGCGAGTGTAGTCTATGTCGCGACGGGACACTTCGCGGTAAAACATCGCCGCGTGCAAGTTCGCCGAATTTCGTGACGGGTCACGAAAAAATCGCCGCGATGTATCGCCAAATTTACGGCGAATCTTCAGCAATAATTGTATTAGAAAGTACTACTTGGTCCATTCCCGTGATCTTTAATTTTGAAAACTTTAAAAAAATCTTGTAAACGTCTTGTATATTTATAAATATTTAGCATTTGAACATGTACAGCGTATACATTTTGTATATTAAAACAAAGCAATCAGGTGCTGGTGAAAATTAGTTAACAATAAAACGAGATTGAAATTACAAAAGGTAATTGGTACTACATCAAAGAACGCACGATAACAAATTGTCCAAATTGTGTAATCATTCCTTGACAAAAAGAAATGACAGTTTTTTTCTGATATATAAAAAAGAGGTGGAAGTCAATCGAGTGTCGGCATTTCTTTGATGATTCGGCAACAACTACAGGTGTGTAAACATCAAAGATTCACAGATTCTTCAGAAGAGCCGACCAGTCATTTGTCAGAGGTCATTTCGTGTGTAAATTTTGTATTTATTATTTAACAATGGAAACATTATATTCCTTTTATTTATGGATGCTTCTTTTTGCGCGAGTGTTTTTGTGTCTTTTAGCGCTATGGAATTTCAACAATCGGCGATAATTTTCGGTAACTAACAATTAAATATTTTAACATTTTTAAAACAGGGGTGCAAATATCCGCCATTCAGAAATTATAGGAGACAAATCTTGCGTGTGTTATTTTTTACAGACGTGTAATAAATTGAGTAATGATCACCCGAGAGAACGAAATGTCCCGGCGGTGATCCACTACATTTAGAAATGAACAAGTTAATGTCGTATCAATTATGTATCTTTTTTATGTAACTAAATATCTTTTTACACATATATATTATATTTAATATCTCTACTTTTTAAACTCAATATGTACCCCCCCCCCCCCAAAAAAATAGTTTTTACACGTGTACATGCACACTAGTTACCTGCAGATGGAGCCGCATACTTGTACTGCGTCGCATTTATACATTGCGGTCATGATTCCGCCATTCACGGAAAGTTTTTAACGGTGTTATTTGATTTCGCCGTGGTTATTTATATTTGCTGTTGGCATCAAAGATAAATAGAGAAAGGGCATTTTTAGCAAATTACAAGATTTTCTTGATACAACTTCATGTAGATCTACTAATTAATTTTCGTACTTGTACATGTATATCTGGTTTCAAGTTCACAGACTACACTTATAAATAGATCTACATTTATTATACAAATGAACATGTATTATTTCCCCGCGAATCGCGGCAAAATGTTCACGGCAAAATCGCCGCGAGTTGAATTCGCGGCGATGTCTCAAGTTGCCGCGAATTCGCTCGCGTTATAAAGCATGAGAGTTCGCCGCGAATACGCGAAATTGTGCGGGTTTCGCGTGTCCAGTACTTGTACTACTTGGTCCTTAATTCCCGTGGTCTTTATTTTGAAAACTTTAAAAAATCTTGTAAACGTCTTGTATATTTATAAATATTTAGCATTTGAACATGTACAGCGTATACATTTTGTATATTAAAAACAAATTCAATCAGGTGCTGGTGAAAATGAGGGTTAACAATAAAACGAGATTGAAATTACAAAAGGTAAAATTGGTACTTACATCAAAGGGAACCGCACGATAACAAATTGTCCAATTGTTATTTGATAATAATACAAATGTAATTAAAAATCCATATGTTTACTTTCGCCAACATATTCTATTTTTAGAACAATGCAAAGCTTAACATTTTAGCACCGATTCACAGGTGTAACTAATTTTATTACGTCTTATACGCTAATTATGATTGTTGAAAAATTTTAAAAGTTTTATCACTTAAATTGGACATTCTTTACCTTCAATTTTCACGAGTAAAAAAATGCCAGTGCGATGGATAGGTGATGAGTAGCAAGATGCCAAATCAGATTTTTTTTTATTCCCGCCAAATCAGCCAGGGCATTTGACCCAAAAAAATTTCCCTCGAAAAACAAAAATAAAATCGGGAGTTTAAATCACACATTTAATATGTAAGTAACGGAGTGATCATTCATTTAGGGCATTCTTGGGCTAAAAAATTAGGGTGTTACTATTTAAAGTATTTACATAAATACGACCAACCAGGGAAGGATATTTTCCTTACGTCACGCAGTACTGCATCGCGCCGGCAATTAAGTTTAATTAAACTAATAATAGCATTATCAAATTAAGGTGTGGAAAAAAAAAAAAAAAAAAAAAAAAAAAAAAAAAAAAAAAAAAAAAAAAAAAAAACGGTGGGAATTTAAAAATTTTTTTTCAAATTAATGAATATTTGTAAAGCATTTATATGGTCACTTAGTTTACCATGTGCTAAAATTTTAATGTGCTTTGGGGTACATGTTCGTTTGTTTATGACTGACGACACTGATTAAATACTAAGCCCATGCAATAAAAACATTTTCTGGGTAGAAGCTGGTCATAAAAATTGACCGAAAAAAATATCCTTTTCATATGCATTATTGTTTGATAGCAGACACAAGTATTTGCACAATATCTTCAAGATCATTAAAATGTAAATAAAAATATCACAATCCCAAAATGCACTTACGATTAATAATATGTCAATAATGTGACCAATCAATATCCAACATTTTTTTTACTTGAGCAATAATTAAACATGTGTAATCATTCCTTGACATAAAAAGAAATGACAGTTTTTTTCTGATATATAAAAAAGAGGTGAAAGTCAATCGAGTGTCAGGCATTTCTTTGATGATTCGGCAACAACTACAGCCTGTGTGTAACACATCAAAATTCACAGATTCTTCAGAAGAGCCGACCAGTCATTTGTCAGAGGTCATTTCGTGTGTAAATTTTTATTTATTATTTAACAATGGAAACATTTATATCCTTTTATTTATGGATGCTTCTTTTTGCGCGAGTGTTTTTGTGTCTTTTAGCGCTATGGAATTCAACAATCGGGCGATAATTTTCGTAACTAACAATTAAATATTTTAACATTTTTAAAACAGGGGTGCAAATATCCGCCATTCAGAAATTATAGCAGACAAATATGCGTGTGTTATTTTTTTACAAACGTGTAATAAATTGAGTAATGATCACCCGAGAGAACGAAATGTCCCCGGTGATCCACTACATTTAGAAATGAACAAGTTAATGTCGTAATCAATTATGTATTCTTTTTATGTAACTAAATATCTTTTTACACATATATTATATTTATATCTCTACTTTAAACTCAATATGTACCCCCCCCCCCCTAAAATAGTTTTACACGTGTACATGCACACTATTTACCTGCAGATGGAGCCGCATACTTGTACTGCGTCGCATTTATACACTGAGAGTCATGATTCCGCATTCACGGAAAGTTTTTAACAGGTGTTATTTGATTTTCGCCGTGGTTATTTATATTTGCTGTTGGCATCAAAGATAAATAGAGAAAGGGCATTTTAGCAAATTACAAGATTTTCTTGAATACAACTTCATGTAGATCTACTAATTAATTTTCGTACTTGTACATGTATATCTGGTTTTCAAGTTCACAGACTACACTTATAAATAGATCTACATTTATTATACAAATGAACATGTATTATTCCCCGCGAATCGCGCAAATGTTTCACGGGAAAAATCACCGCGATTGAATTCGCGGCGATTGTCTCAAGTTGCCGCGAATTCGCTCGCGTTATAAAGCATGAGAGTTCGCCGCGAATACGCGAATTGTGCGGGTTTCGCGTGTCCAGTACTGTACTTTGGAGTTTGTTATTTGTTTTGCATGGAATGTAGCCAGATCGTTTGAACTACCTTTTAAGCATGTGCTATATTCCATTAAAATTGTAAATCTGTAAAATATTTGGTTTATACAGAATTTATTTTAGTTCGATTGTGTAGGAAGCTATATCCTTATAGACACACTTTCGAATCCGTTCCTGGGACTAAACCAGTACTGAGCAATGAGTGTAAAGTTCTTGCTCAAGGAAACAACGACTTCCCCTACGGGGTTGAACCATGCGGCTAGCGATCATGAGATTACTAGTCGACGCGTAACCATTCGGCCATTGTTCGCCACATATGTAAAATATTTAAGCTAACTTAAACTGCAAAAGTGGTACCATATCATACATGTGACCTCTCCCACTTAGTGGTGAGACTCCCTTTCTGCAGCCATATTTTCAAAGATTTTTCTTAAAATAAGGCGGGGAATTCACAAATTAAAGAAATCTTCCTCTTTTTGATGTCAGAACTTCCTTCTTGTTTATTGCAATTCTAAAATCTCCCTTTTTGAGAAAATCTCCCACTAGACTCATGGAAAAGTTCACATGTTGCCATATTGTAATCACATTGTTAGGACTGTATAATATAAAAATGAGCTTTTCATATGCAAAAACTAAAGTGTGAATTAAAAAAATTTATATGGGAAAGTACCCAGTTATAAGGGAAAAACCCATTTCCGTTTTGAGTATTTCCCCACGGGTTTGTGCATGTCCCTTAAAAT